CACCGACAACTTTCCCTTCGCTCCTGTCATCATCACTATGGCCACAAGATGTTGCCGTAGCAACAAAACCTGACTATGACGTCATAAACAACCTGCTGCACAGTACGACCTGTGGTTTTTTTAAAGGACAGTCTCGACCTTTCGCTGTAGCGCCAGCCTCAAATATAACGTTGCATTATGATGTTTTTCAGATGTCAACCTTCAGATTTCTTCTTCAGTGTTTTTTTTTAAGTAACAGTCACGATTCTTCGTGTTGCTGGTTTTCAGTTTCAAACTTTCTGTACCGTTTTGGTGTCGAGAGAGGGGGGGCTTGATGGGAAGAGCAAAGAAAGACCGCTTGATTATTTGTTACATTCAGAAGCGCTGACAGGACAATTTTATTTTCCAATGTCAAAAATTAAACGTCACTGTTGGAGCCCCAAACACTGGAGGCTGCAGCTTTCAGGACCACAATCCTAAGACTGCATCTCTAGGGCCATAATCTTGTGGCTGCAGCGCCACCTAGCAAACTGTCCAGGGTTAGTGTTGTCACATGTTTAGAACGATCTGTTTGGGTACAGAAGCAATGTCATGAAAGACTAGGATCCTAGAAATGTGGTCCTGAAACTGCTTCTTCATTGTGCTGGTGTTTCTTCCTCTGTGTCTCTCGGGGGCGACAGTGGGTCTGTTCATGTTTAATCTTGTTGAAAAGGAAAGAATTAAAGAAGCGGCACAGATCCAAATATAAACCAAAACTCTGACGGGGCGATAATCCGATTAAAACTAAATCTGTCACGGACGAGCACGGAGTTTTATCTGAACACATCTGTGTAACAGCCGTGTGGAGACCGGAGCGCTTGTGAAGCTCTGGGCACCTCGACTTTCTTGTTGTACTTTTCATCCTCATTAAATCCTCTTGAACTTTTATGGCGTTGCATCAGTCAGGACTCTTCTGCTTTATTAGTGCTCAGGTCTCTTTTGGTCTCGTCCTGCTGCGACTCTTTGAGCCTTTGAACCTTTTCAGACACGAGGAGACTGAGCGCAGACGTCCTCACCTGCTCATTAAAAATACATTTCACACAAACACTTTCTCATCTCACCTCTGATACCTCCAACCTTTTTTTCCTCTCCTTTTTGTCTCGCTGATTTCATGATGTTGCTCTTTTGACTGGAAAGCAGAGTGATGTATTTAATGAGTAAAGTTTCTATTATAATTTTTACTACAGGACACAAGGTCAAATAGTTTTAATGTAATTTATTGTTTAAATTATTGATAATTACTTAGTAATAACCAGTAATTACAGCATATGTGACCTATACCTGCTTAGCTGAATGTATTTTATTTTTGAGTGTTTAATTAACGGTGCAGTGATTTAAACCTTTAAAAGCTCCCTCCAGTGTAAGGTCTGTGTCCATGTGTAGTGTGATTATAGATCAGCTCTAGCTTCTATATTAATACTGTGAAAGTATCAAAGCCTCAGTCCACAGAGAAATGCACACAGCCTGTATTCAGAAACTGAGCCTTAAAACCAGCCGTCAGGACTTCTGGAACTTGTGATGTCACAACAAAGCAGTCACCAAGCCCGCCCACCTGGACCCACCATCCAAACCTTGCAGGATTTGGTTTCTCTGAGTGTTTTTACTGAAATCTGCTTATATTTTTATTGGATCTACTCAGAACATCAGCCAATCAGAGAAGAGGCTCAAGGCCTCCCTCTTCTGATGCTCACAGACCTGTTGTTACTAGAAGCTCAGAGAGAAGCCGTGAGAGAGGAGATGTAAAACTACACTGAGATGGTTTTATATATCTTCTGATGGATCAACACTTCAAATAAATTCATTCTGGGTAATTTCAGTATGTAATTAAAAAAAAAATCAAACATATTGGGAAAGACATTTATTATCTTTTTTTTTTTTTAACCAGCTTAGCATAAAGACTGGAAGCAGGGGGAAAGCATCTCAGACTGTAGTGGAAAGATGTTGTGAGGAAAGGATACTAAACCTGTGCGACCTGTCTTGTGTGTTCAGTCAGAACAGTTACATGACCTAACTACCTGCTGACGAAAGATCATAGACATGAAACTAAACTTAGAAGAAAGAGAAACAAACAACGTGATACAGACATGAATATCACGACACTGAATACGACGAAACAACAGTGATACGAACAATTAATGAATGATACGACATGATACGACATGATACGACATGATACAACATGATACGACAACTGATACGAAACATCACATGATACGACATGATACGAGAGAAACATGATATACGAAGACATGATCAACTGACAACATGATACGGAAACATGATACGACGAACACATGATACGACATGATACGACGATGATACGACAACATGATGACAACATGATACGACAGACATGATACTACAACATGCATACGGACAACATGAATACAACATTGATACAACATGTGATACGACAACATGATACAACATGATACAACATGATACGAAACAACATGATACGACAACATGATACGAACAAACATGATACGACAACATGGCCCTTTAGTTTATTTCCCCAAATTGTTGCACTATTCATTTCACAGACTCTGAGGCGACTCAGTTTAAAAGCAGCTGGACTCAGTTAATCCAGTTGTTACACCAACTGCAGTCTGACGTTCAACGTGTCCTTGAAGTCCACAAAATATAAACTGCTGAAAATCACTATTGTTGCTATAGAAACTAAATCAATGTGAATATTTTTCATGCACACAAAACTCGTCATCAACACGACAAGACGTTTCAAATCAGTTTCACGCGGAGTCGCTTCAGAACATCATTGCTGAGCGTTCAAACATCCAGGTCATCGCCGTCTGATGTGGAAGAGTTTCCATGTCCTGCACACACACAACACCACAACACACACACACACACACACACACACACACACACACACTCGTTGACTGGTGACAGAGATGAAAGTGACACAGCTGAATTTAGCATGACGCTAATTAAAAGTCATTTTATGCTTCTTTATAAATTTAAACGTTATTCATCAACGTTTTGAACATTGGTGGATGAAACCAGAAACATCAAATACGATGTTGAAAAACATTTGGTTAGAAGTTTGTCTGAAATTCATCGGGGGGGGCGTAGGGCACTTCAGCTTTCACACAGATTCCTCTTGGAGAAACATCTCAGCCCTAGTGACAGGAAGTAAACAAGGAACTTTGTGAGACCTCAAAGCCACGACAGCGCACAGATCGTCCGCACACACACGCGCACACATGCACACACACACACTCATAGCACGCACACACACACATACGCACGCGCACCACACACACACACATGCCACACACACACACCACATCACACACACCAGAGAGCTCAGGGAGGATTCTGAAGTGTAATGAGGGCCGGCAGAGCTGTGTATGCAAATCAAGACATCAACACAGTCCTGGATGTTTCTTGGCAAGCACAACCATCTCTCACCTCTCTCTCTCTCTCTCGTCTCTCTCTCTCTCTCTCTTCTCTCTCTCTCTCTCTCTCTGTCTCTGTCTCTCTCTGCCTCTTCTCTGTCTCTCTCTCTCTCTCTTCTCTCTTCTCTCTGTTCTCTCTCTTCTTCTCGTCTCTCCTCCTGTCTCTCCTTCTCTCTCTCTCCCTCTCTCTCTCTCTCTCTCTCTCTCCTCGTCTCTGCTCTCCTTCTGTCTCTCTCTATTCTCTGTCCTCATTCCTCGTATCTCCCCTCTTCTGTCTCTCTCTCTTCTGTCTGGTTCTTCTCTGTCTCTCTCTCTCTTCTGTCTCTCTACTGCCTCGTTCTCTCTCTCTCTCTCTCTGTCTCTCTCTGTCTGTCCTCTTCTTCTCCGCTCTCCTTCTCTCCTTCGTCTCCTCTCTCATCTCCTCTCTTCTCTTCTCTCTCTCTCTCTCTCTGTCTCTGTCTCTCTCTCTGTCTTCTTGTCTCTCTCTCTCTCTCTCTCTCTCTCTCTCTCTCTCCTTCTCTCTCTCTGTCCTCTCCTCTTCTTCTGTCTCTCTGTGTCTCTCTCTCTGTCTTCTCTCTCTCTGCTCTCTTCTCTCTCTCTCTCTTCTGTCTCTCTCGCTTCTCTCTCTCTCTCTCCTCTCTCCTCTCCTCTCTCTCTCTCTCGTCTCTCTCTCTGCTCTCTCTCTCTCTGTCTCTCTCTCTCTCTCTCTCTCTCGTCTCTCTCTCCTTCTTTCTTCTCCTCCTGCCCCTCGTCTCTCTCTCTCTCTGTTCTTCATTCCTCTCTCTCTGTCTCCTCTCTCTCTGTCTGTCTCTCTTCTCTCGTGCTCTCTCTCTCCTTCTCCCTCTCTCTCTCTCTCTCTCTCCCTCCCTCTCTCTCTCTCTCTCTGTCTCTCTCTCCCTCTCTCTCTCTCTCTCTCCCTCTCTCTCTCAGCTTTGTGAAAACACACAATGGCTGTTACATAAGACTCGTCAGTGTAATCTAGATTTCAGCAGCTGGAAGATGGAGCCGAGCTGCTGCTTATCAGCTGCGTTCAGACGACAAACACAAACTATCACTGTTCTCACGTTTCCTTTGTCAGCTCCCTGTGTAGTTTTCTCTTTTCTCCCAGATACACACACACACACACACACACACACACACACACACACCACACTGTGGAAAACAACCTGATATTAAAGATATTATAATCCTTATTGACTGATTGATCATCGGTGACGTTGGTGTGACGCTACGTTCAGACATTTGTTTCCGGCGGCGACGCAGACGCCTCGAGTGTTTGTCCGTTCCCGCACTTTCCCGCTCGTCTGCATCGAGTTCCTCTCGTTCAGTTCGTGTTGTGGCTTCGGTGCTCCGACGCCAAACAACTCTCTTTCTATTAAATCAGCAGCAGCAGCTGTGTAATCCATGTGTACAGGGATTTTCAGGAACATTACCACAGCTGAATTAAAAGTTTTAGTAATTAGTTTTAGCAATTACAAGTTGTGGCTGTGGCGTCCTTTAGGCCCAGTTCAAAACAAATGGCACAAAGTATTAATACTGATGTGTGTTTCTGTGTGTTTGCAGTACTGGACGGATTTCTACCTGCAGTGGAACATGTCAGACTATCCAGGTGTGAGCAACGTCAGGTTCCCCGACAGCCAGATCTGGAGGCCGGACATCCTCCTGTACAACAGGTAACGAGCTCCAGGATGCTCCGCCTCCTGCCTGAAAGGTCACTTAATTGAACTTGGATTTGCTTCGTTAAGATTCTTATTTTTAATGCTGTGTGAACGTTTGTGATGGCGGGGAATGGGAGGACCCTAACCTAACGAGCTCCTCCCAGAGAATTAATCACATCCACATCATATTGGGTCAGTTTCATCTTAAGACCTTTGCGATGACATGTTATGAAGCTTTTGAGTTTCTGTTGGACGGTCTGCCCGTGGTGTCGCAGCCAACTTCTCTGCTTCACCATGAAACAGGAAGTAACCCTTGAGTGACAATCAGCATTTGATTTACATGAAATTTGGATCTTTGATTTTCAGGAGCATAATTATTGCTGTTCACTGGACAAAACTCAGAACCAGAATCATTATTTGAAATCACTTGTTTTTGCTGTTGCACTGAATCTTCATCACTATGAAATTCAGTCTCTTCAGCTCTTGACTTCTAAACTGAGGAAACGATCAATAAAGTTTTCTTCTTTAAACGTTAAGCGTCAGAGAGAAGAAGGACAGGAATCAGTCCTGAGATCAGGTTGTCTCCAGATGGAATCAGGATGTTTCAGTTCCCTGAACGACAGGAAGACAACTCACTCCGTCACGGTTTATTTTCCTCCCTCAGTTCCGACTCAGTAAACAAGCTAATTCAGCTAATTCCCTCCTGTTATCGGCGCTAAAGATAGGTCCTCTCCCCGTCAGGATTAATACCTCGCTGTGAACACACACATCAGAGCCGCCGGCTGGGGGGGGGGGGCTCTCTGCTGGATGCTAAAAGGCGTTTCAGCTCATTAACGGAGCAGTTCAGAGGCAAAGTTTGGTCTTGGTGGGAAGAAGGCGGCGGGCTGTCAGAGGGAATATTGGCCTGTTGGGCTTTAATGAGACGGGGCCGATGAACGGACTCTGAGTTATTACTGGGCACCGGGTCAAAAACAAACTCATGTAGTTTCACTTCCACGGCAAACAAACTCTTCCAGTTTTACAAAGTGAAAGAAACAGTGACGCTCATGTTGCTAACTTGTTTTTTAACGTACTAGAAACTCTGATGTTCATATCTGCGGTGGAACTCGCCGCTGGGAACGCCACGTTGGGGGTTGGCGTGGTAACCTTTGACCTGGTGTACCAGGGGTGTGATGGAGGAAGAGGGAGTATTTGGTCTCATCCCTTTCTCGATGCAAAGACGTTTGACTCAGGCAGCTGCTTCCTGACGGTGGGAACCTGCTGTTGGGTATTTGGTCTCCTGCACGATAACTAGTTAGAAGAAGATCCAGATCCCCTGTGTGCGCTGGATTTCCTCCCGTATGACTGAGTACTGAAAACCTCCAGTGGAAGGTTTCACTTCAATTACACCGAGGTTGTTTTCACATCATCAAACCAAATATCCGACTGAAAAAACACATTTATAAATGTACAAACGTTCAGCAGCTGCAGCAGCAGGAATCTGCCCTTTAGAAAAAGCTGTGTTCAAATATTAAAAAGTTATTGTTTACTTGACCAGAAGTGTTGCAGGTGAACACTGCGGACTCAGAGAAACACAGATCTCACAATCGATTTCTACATTGTTCAGAAAATTTATTTCCGTTGTTGAATAATTGACCTTTTGAAACGGTGGGTTGTGATTGGGCAGCGATGATGTGTAGACAATCGTATCCTGTGTGTTCTCTCTGTGAGGCATGTTCCAGTTTTACACCTTGAAAGTGAAGAAATCTCCGTCTGCAGAGACACGAGGGACGACACGTTTAATCAGAGACGACGTTTCGTGACATTAAGGGGATTTTTGAAATGTGAGGACATTTGGAAAACTGAGGATACTTTAGGAAAGAGAAAACTTTAAATACTTAAGGGAGTGTGTGTGTGTGTGTGTGTGTGTGTGTGTGTGTGTGTGTGTGTGTGTGTGTGTGTGTCTGCAGCCGTGATGAAGCTGTGACGTCACACCTGTGTCTGTCTGTCTCCTCAGTGCTGACGAGAGGTTCGACGCCTCCTTCCACACCAACATCCTGGTCAACTCCACCGGCTACTGTCAGTACCTGCCACCAGGTAACTCACAGGCCCCTCCCACTGCGACACTGACTCCTCCCACCACTACACAGACCCCTCCCCCAATCTTTGCCACTCGGTCTGTTGCTCCGTCACTTGGTTCAATTTAAATAAATAACTTTTTATCAGAGAGTTATAATTATACAGAGAAGAAGACTCATCAGTTTTATCCATAAATTGTCACATCACCCACTAACGACCACAAACACACACACACACACACACACACACACACACACACACACACACACACACACACACACTGAGTGTCGGTTTAAGGAGGTCTGGGGGGGGTGTGGTGGGGTCATGTCATCATGGGGTCATGGGGTCAACAGGAGGGGGGCGGGAGGAGTTATGGTCCTGATTGACGACCTGAGACTCATGGTGACCTTCCACCAGGCTGCTGATGGAGAACAGACGGTTTAACCTCGAGAGTTGAATCTTATTTATTTATTTTTTATCCTTTTTTTCATTGTTTTATTTTAATTTTATTTGGAAACAAATAAAAATAGAGAGACGTCACGTGGGATCAGATCAAACCGACGTAAACACAGACAGAACATCAATTTACAGCCGAGAGACAACACGTCAGGAAGAGGAGGGAAACTCATCAGCTGATCAGAAATCAATTACCAATAAAAGTGGTAACAGCTCCATTACTACTGACAGCTAACATTGATTGGTGTGAGTTGGGGTGTTGTAGGGAGGGAGGGAGGGAGGGAGGGAGGTGGACTCAGGCTTCAGGCTTCAGCAGTGACACAGAAAATATGATTCAATAAAACTAAAAACAGTTTCTTCCAGTTACTTTGCTTGTCTGGTGTTTTTAAAGTGAAATGTTATTTTGTCTTTATGTATGTAAATGCACAGACAGTGAAGTATTGTTAATATTAGTGAATACTATAATAAAATAATAATTATTAAGGTGTTTCCCTCAGGAGTCGGTAGAGCCCAGACAAACACTGAGGTCCTCACAGGAAGTGAAGACTCACTGAACGGATGTTGCTGAAAACACGAAAACACTCCAAACGTAAAATATATTCAAAAATAGGGTTTGATTTTTTTATGTCTTAAAGGCATCGTGGTCACCGTGGTCACCGTGGTCACCATGGTCACCGTGGTCACCGTGGTGACGGAGCGAACGTTTCAAAAAGCTGCTGATCCCAGACCGAGAGCTCAAAACGACAAACAGACTCTCTGTGCCGACAGCGGCCTACCTACTTTTGTCGCCGTGGTTACTATAATAACCGTCACGGCTTGGTTTGGTTTTTAAGAAAAGATGGTGACTCAGGTTAAAATAAGTTCTTCCTCAGCATTAGACGATCCTTGTTGCCGTGGTAACAACACAAACAGCCGGTTTTACGTGGGAATCGAACTGTCTTTCATCTGCACTTCCTGTCTTCCCTCTTCATGGCGTTGTCGTAAACCCTGCGTCACATGACCAACTTCAGCCGCTCCTCGTCCTTTGACTTCATCTCCTCTTCCCCCCGTTTCCTCGGTGCTGCAGCTGCGTCTGGATTCGTCCTCGGGGATCATTAAACCTTCATGTTGTGAGGAGGAAGCAGGTGCTGGCTGGTCTGAGAACAGATTGGGTCGCGCAGCTGATCCACACAGAGTGAATGGAAACCTGGAGACCTCACTTCTTTTCTTGTTTACCTGTGCTCAAAAAAACGAACTTTTCTCGGCAGCGACTTCCTGTGACTCAGTGAACAGTTTGTCCTTGCAGCTCGTCCTCTGCTTGTTATTTTATTTCTCATTTCTGTGTTCTGTCTTCAAAGTCTTCTGCTTCCTGTCGACCCAAATCATCTTCCTCTCTGTTGCCTGCAATTTATTTTCTCTCTGCTTTAGAGGTTTTTTTTCCATGAATTCCTCCTGGTGTTTTTCTCTTTATTCTGTCCACATCTTATTATTTTTTGCATGTTTTACTTGTGTGGGTTTGATAATGATCTCCCGCTGACTCTCACAAACACAAACAGTATTTTCAGCCTCTCCTCCTGTTCTCACTGAGCTTGTTTTGTCCTGTCGTGCGTTCTCCCTCCAGTGCTAATCTTTTTTCTCGTCGTGTCTTTATCTCCCCCGCGCAGCCTGCGGTTCATTTCTCACTCTCTTTATTTCAGGAATATTTAAGAGCACCTGCTACATCGACGTGCGCTGGTTTCCCTTCGACGTGCAGCGCTGCGACCTCAAGTTCGGCTCGTGGACGTACGGCGGCTGGTCTCTGGACCTGCAGATGATCGAGGCCGACATCACCGGGTACATCGCCAACGGAGAGTGGGACCTCGTGGGTAAGAGCTCAGAGGAAACAGGAAGCCTGTGGCAGCTGTTTTTTAAAAACGCAAAGTGTGTGTCGTAGTTTCTGTGAATCAAATGAAACTAGAGTCACCTCCTCGTGGTCGTATCCCTCCGCCACTCAGCCTAGTTCCGGGTCACTTCCTGTTTATCCTGAGTCAGAGAGAATATGAACCACTGGTGTGATTTCTGTGTGAAGTCTTGAGTAATGGCTAAAAAGTGTCTTCTGAGGTTACACTGACCTTGACCTTTGACCTTTGACCACCAAAATTGAATCAGTTCGTCCTTGAGTCCGAGTGAATGTTTGTGAAAAATTTGAAGGGATTCCCTCGAAGAGTTGTGGAGATACTGCGTTCACAAGGCCAGAACTGCGTTTTGTGAGGTCACCCTGTCCTTGACCTTTGACCTTTAGCCACAAAATTCGACTCAGTCTGTCCTTGAGTCTAAGTGAACGTTTTTACCAAATTTGAAGAAATTCCCTCAAGGTGTTACGGAGATATTGCGATTACAAGGCCAAAAATGTGTTTAGTGAGGTCTCCACGCCCGTGACCTTTGACCCCTCAAAATCTAATCAGTTCATCCTTAAGTCCTTGCGAATGTTTGTGCTAAATTTAGAGAAGTTCCATCACGGCGTCACTGAGATATCATGTCCATGGGAAGGAGACGGACGTCTCTACGTGACGGACAACCTGAAAACAAAATGGCCGCTCTGACTGTCGCCGGCGCGGAGGAATGAAAATGTTTTGGTTCTTTAAGGAGTTTGAAACTGATTTCCGAAAGCCGAACTGAACTGAGACAGTCGGAGGAGGAGTATGGTTGAGATGAGATGAGTCTGAGTCAGGGACGAGTAAAAAAGAAGAGAGAGAGAAAGAGGAACAGGAAATTAAAACACACAACATCTGATTGATCAATAATCAACAGGACGCCTGATCGAACCCGTCAGGCAGCAGCAGGAATAAGGGAGGAAAGACTGGGAAGCTTCACTTCATGATCAGACCTCCGACTGTGTGAGCAGCAGGTTCCCGCCAAAACCAACAAGTTTTAATCAGTTATATCCAGGACTCCTCCCTCTCCCCCTCCCTCTCCCCCTCCCCCTCCCCCCGACAGCGACAGTGTGTAAATGTTAGAGCTTGAACACGGCGGCCTGCGGCTCCGCCGGGGGGGAGCAGAGGAGCCGGGGGTTTCACATCGGCGTCAATCTGCTGGTAATTAAAGCGTCCTGCTGCTGCAGAGAGCGGCGGGCCTGCGGGGCGAGCAGGCGGCTCAGTGATCCTGAAGGCCGCCGCCGCCGCCGCCGCCTGGAGGCCGCGTTCATACCGACAAATGCCAGATCGCGCAGCAGAGCGTGACCAGCGAGTGACATTTATTTTGTCAAACTTCAGCTCTGGTTTCTGTCGCTGCTCTGATTTCATCACGGAGCAGGCGCCGGGAGGCGGAGACCCGCGGCGTCCCGTTCCCGTGGAAACAAGCAAGGGTTAATGGAACAGGATCACATGACAAGCTCAGGACATTTACACGTCACTGTTTGTGTCTCGTGCGTCTTTTTACTCATTAAACAGAATTACAATCAAACTTACGTCATTCAGCGAATCCAGTAATTAAAGACAGATATTGTGTCTCTTCGTGTTGCAGTAAATCTCAGCTCCGTCTTTGTCTTTCTGTCGTTGTGTTTGGTGATTTATTCAGACGACGTTCGCAGTTATAAAAACCAGGATTTGACCAGAGGAGGTCCAGACGTGTACGAGGTTTACACCTGGTCCTGTTTGGTTTGAGTCGTGACCTTCAGCTTTGTTCCTGAGGAAACTAACAGATGTTCAGACAGACTCTTCTCTCCGACATTGACTGTGTATATTACTGTAGGTTTTTCTGTCAGTCTGTGGAAGCGTCAGTGTTACGGCTCAAAGCTGCAGCTGTTTAAATAAAACTGGCAGCAGGTGAAACGACACTTTCTCAACTCCATAATGGAACAAGTGTTAAGACGGAAATTTGAACATTGTGCCAACAGGTTGATTTCACAGGGAGACGTCGTCCTGGTTTGAACCAGAACTTAAACCTGGAGCTAAAACTGAACCAGCTGTTCGAGCTAAAAGCCCGAACAGTAAGTTTTACCTGTTTACAGCAGGTGTTAGCCGTATTCAGTGATGATCCTGGGCTCGTCGTGCTCCCTGTGGCGCCTCCTGAGGACCGTCTGCATCAGTTCATGCATCAACAGTCTTGTAGAAATATGTTGGCTGTGGTTGCTGTGTGTGTTTTCGAGACAGGTAGAAGAGGAAGGAATTGGCCCAGGTGTACCGCTGACCACCATGGAGGCAGGTGCAGGTGTGGAGGCCGCACAGTGAAGTGTCATGGCGGTTGTCTGCAGGTGTATGTGTGAAGGAAGGAAGACCTGAGCAGTTGGAGCTGCCGGTCTCGGAGCAGTTAGAGGACGGACGCTCTCCTCGCTCTCGGGGGAGCCGGAGCTCGTCGCTCTGAACCAGCTGCTGAAAGAAAGTATGAAATGAAAAGAGAGAAAACAGACAGAGAGAGCGAGAGAGCCCCCGACCCCCCCGCCCCCAGGAGACGGCGTTCAGCCAATGGGCCGTTCAGAGGGAACTTAATTGAAAATCTCAGCAGCATGTTTCCCCATTTACCCCCCGTGCCCCTCCCCCCTCCATCACCTGGCGGAGATTAAAACCGGTGTACTGAGCAATGTAGCGATGTAAAGGCAAATGAAAGGCAGCCAGGCGTGCTGCCCCCGACCACAGAGGGATAAAACGGGGGGGGGGGCTTATCTGCCGCGGCCTCCAGTAATTAATCAGTTAAAGAACCAGAAAGAGGCTGAAGAGGAAGTTAAGAGAAAACGGTCCGTTATATATTCAGCACACAGTGCACAGCACAGAACCTCTTTTAAAGTGCTGAACAACCCCACCTCCTACACACACACACACACACACACACACACACACACACACACTGCCTTAACACTTAACCCCCCTCCATCGTAAAACCACAAGGCAACATTTTTCATTTTGATTTTTGCTCAGATTAAACAAATAAGATGCATTTTGAATGTTATTTCAATTAAATTCAAGAAACTTTATTTGTCTCCAGGGGAAAAAGAAAAACATAAACATAAAAAGAACACAACCACAGCAAGACAAAGAGATCCTGTGTTATAATGAGAATAACATGAGAGAATGACATCACTAATCAGTGACTGACTTTATGAGAGATAATCCTGCTGCAATAACAGACTGTATGAGATATATGAGCATAGATAAATAGCTGTGTGTGTGTGTGTGTGTGTGTGTGTGTGTGTGTGTGTAGCATCATTAAGCTTCAGAGGAACTGGTTTGTGTTTTTTGTTTCGTTTTTTACCTTTAGACAGAGCCATGCTAGCTGTTTCCCTCTGTTTCCAGTCTTTATGCTAAGCTAAGCTAACGGTCTCCTGGCTGCAGGACCTGATTCTGTACTGTCGGCAGAAACAGGACAGCAGCACAACCAGAGTGTGATGGCTAAACGTGAAAAATACACTTGTACTATTACATTTAACAACGTTAATGACTTAAAAAATAAATAAAGAGCAGTAAAACACAATTTAATTTTCACTTTCTGCCTCCTGAAAGACGCCACCCACCCACCAGCCTAAAACTTACTCCCTTAAAACACATGTGAAATTCAATATTTCAATATCAATATTCAATATGTCCCCACCTCATGTAGCCTGAAGGCTTCACCTGTGAAATGTCTGAAAATCACATTAAAAACACGATTCTTTCTTCGGGGTATTTTTAGTCTTAATCCTGGTAAAACTCAGAAACGTCTTCTCCTCATGAAGGATGAAGGATGTCAGAAGATTGTAGTTGCCACAGCTGGGACTTTAACTCTTGTTAATGCTTTTTAAAAAAATATAGTTTTATTGTAAACTCTTCCACTGTGATATAACGGAGGTCAAAGGTCAACATGCAGACAGTGGCGTGATGACAGGTGACAGTGTCGTGAGGGTCAGGCCTGTTTGTTGTGGTTGTGTGTGTTTATTTGAATCCATCATGTTTCGATCTTTTGTTATTAATTCATCTCTGGCAGATACAACAGCTGATTATTGCAGTAATTAAACCTGAGCAGGTCTCATCACTGTCGGCCGGCGGCGTCTCGCCTCCCGCAGCAGCAGCGATGATGATGATGATGATGATGATGATGATGACGGAGGATCTGGTTTGGTGTGAAGTATTTAAATCTTATGTTTCTGAGTCGGTGACTCATCACCAGCGCTTCCAGTGTCGTATATCATCAGTTTCTATAAACCAGTTCTCTGCTCTGTATCTACGTCCTGGTCGCAGCGGCTGAACGTCTCGTCTGTCTTTAACACTGAACTCAGTTTCATCTTGATTAACAAGTTTCTGCTTCACTCCTGCAGGTTTTTTACTTTCGCTTTCGTCAGATAGAAAAACTCTCCGACTGCTGCGTTGAAGAAAAGTCAACATCAGTCGGGCTCTCTGATCTCTGCACGGCTTCTAATCTGATACTGAATCGACGTTAAACTCTTCTTACTGCTTCACAAATCACTGAATACTTTAAAACGCAGCTCTGATCTTCTCTGGGTTTCGAGCTCACCAGGGGCCGGTTCCTCCAAGATGCTTGAGACTGGTCTGTAGTGTTGGTCCGGGCTTCATTTAGCTCACAGATCAGTCTGATGCAAGTAAGAAAAAAATATAGCTGACTCATTTTAAGACAAACTAGAGTCACCTCCTCGTGGTCGTATCCCTCCGCCACTCAAACTAGTTCCAGGTCACATCCCTGTTTATCCAGTCAGAGAAAATATGAACCATCAGTGTGAAATTTTGTCATAAGTGCTGTGAAGTCAAACTGACCTTTGACCTTTGACCCCCCAAAATCTAATCAGTTCCTTCTTGAATCCAAGTGAAATGTTTGTGCAAAATTTGAAGAAGTTCCCTTGAGGAGTTCTGGATATATTGCGTTCACAAGGCCGAAATCATGTTATGTGAGGTCACCGTGACTTTGGCCTTTGACCTTTGACCACCAAAATCTTATAAGTTCATCCTTAAGTTCAAGTGAATGTTTGTGGGACATTTGAAGAGGTTTCATCAAGGCGTTACAGAGATATCGCGTCCACAAGGACAGACTTTTATTTTCTCGTTTATTTTGCTCAACAGCTGAAACTCAGCTATGTGTTGTTGTTGTTGTTGTTGTTGTTGTTGTTGTTGTTGTTGTTGTTATCGTTGTTGTGTCGTGTGCAGAGGTCCCCGGGCGGAGGAACGAGCGTTTCTACGACTGCTGTAAGGAGCCGTACCCCGACGTGACCTTCACCGTGGTGATGAGGAGGAGGACGCTTTACTACGGACTCAACCTCCTCATCCCCTGCGTCCTCATCTCCACCCTCGCTCTGCTCGTCTTCCTGCTGCCCGCCGACTCCGGAGAGAAGATCTCCCTGGGTTAGTGCAACATATTTAAAACCTCAGTTTTCATCCAAAATAAAAGCATCAGTTTTTCTTTGCCAGTGGTTGTGACCCTTCAAAATAAAACCAAGTCATCCTGTTCCGACTGTCGGAGAGGAAAGAGTGACTTTTACAGACTCAGGTTTTTAGTCTCTGAAGACGTCAAACTGTATTTCTCAAAAAAAGAAAGATAACACACACGTCTTAGAAAATAAGATTCATTTAAAACATTCTCCCTCCTGACTTTTCTAATTATTGGATAGTCCAACTTTATTGTGACGCTTTAAAGCTCCATATTTTCTTCTTCTTCTGTGTTTTATTTGAAGTGTTGATCCATCAGAAGATATAAAAACCATCTCAGTGTAGTTTTACATCTCCTCTCTCAGGCTTCTCTCTGGAGCTCTAGTAACAACAGGTCGGTGAGCCAATCAGAAGAGAGGAGGCTCTGAGCCTCTCTTCTGATTGGCTGACTGTTTTCTGAGTGATCCAATAAAAATATAGCAGATTTCAGGTAAAAACACTCAGAGAAACCAAATCCTGCAAGGTTTGGATGGTGGGTCCAGGTGGGCGGGGCTTGGTGACTGCTTTGTTGTGACATCACAAAGTTCCAGAAGTCCTGACGGCTGGTTTTAAGGCTCAGTTTCTTCTTCTTCTTTTTCTTCTTTCTCTCTTTACTTCTCTCTGAGCTTCCTCTGTCATTCTTCATACGACTAGTTGTGTCTCTTCATGAGAACAACTGTTCCCTCCAGTTTAAACCACATCACTCCTCTGTGACCGCCGGCTCTAACCCCCGTCCTCCGGTCAGCCTTTAAGATCTGATGTTGTCAGACATCACATCACACACTCGACTTCTTCTCTAGCACAAGAGAGAAAGCAGGAAATGACAAATGATGAACAATCAAAGCTGATTTATGATAAACTCCAAAATAAAAGCTGTTAAAATCCTGCTACTAAAAAATGATGGCCTTCAAGTGTCTTAATGTACAGCTCCAGTCTTCCACAGTAAAACGTCTTTAAAAGTGTCGCATTTAAATCGTCACATGTGGAATAAAACATATTGACTTCATCCAGAATAACCCGTCCACACAGTGTTTGTGTCCTGCAGCAGCTGAGTCCTCAGATGACCGATGTCTCCGAGTCGATTCCCATCTGCCATAAAACATCCTGAAACAGGAAGTTAAAGCTGCCGAGAGGCCTCCTGCTGCTGAGACCAGACGCTGCGTCTTTCACTGGAATTTTAATTTATACTCTCCATCAAACCTGGATGTCTGCAGGAGCCATCACTCACCTCCCACCCCCCAACACCCCTCATTGCACCCCCCCACCCATCCAGCGTCAGACTGTTGGTGAGCCAGCAAACACAAATCAGAAATCACTGATTAATTCTCTAGTTTTCTGACTCGTATTAATTGTGATTTCTCACCACTCGTGTGTATTTCTAGTTAGTTATTATTATATATATATTATTATTATAGTTACATGACACAATAAGCAAAATGTCCTTCATGTTAATAGACAGTGATGAGACTAAATAAGATGCACAGCCGATCTATAAACCAGTTTTATGACACACTCAGAGAGATGATGCTCAATTAACTTTCCTTTGTGTGTGTGTGTGTTTCTGTTAATGAGCTTTTCTTTTTGCTTTTGTTGCTTTATTGATCCAGTTTCCTTTTATGAGGAGGAGGCAAAGACGTGGCGTGTAAATCCCCGACCTTTGACCTCTGTACCTCCCCTCTCACAGACGGTCGTAACGATGGTCGTCACAGAATTACATTTGATGGTGCCTCTTGAGCTCGCTCTCCTGAATCAGAGTTTAAAACAGTTGAAACTGTTAGCCTAGCGCTAGCAGCTGCTGAGGAGAGCAGGTCACTTCAGGTCACTTCAGGTCACTTCAGGATGAGTGAACAGTCGTGACCCAGGATCATCAGTTCAGTGGTTTGGGTTTTATTTGTTCTCCAATTTCTGGCAACATGCAGGTGGATCAGTGGGGGGTCTGAGGACCCACCAGGACCTCCAGGTGACCCCCACCATGAGATAAAATAAGACAAGCTAAAATAAGCTAAGCTAAGATTTTCCTTTATTAGGGAACTTTGCTGTATTACAGCAGCTAGTGGACAGTGCAAGAAAGAAAACAGCAAAATGACAATGTCATATACTTGAAAAAAAGATAGATAATATAATAATATAATATGTCTTATAAATATTTAAACAACAACAAAAAATGCAGCAGATAAGTGATAAGAGGGATTCTGTGCAGGTGTGACCTCCACTGCCCGTTCAATTTAATCAAATCTGATCATTAAATAAATTATTTTATCATTGTCAGATTCAGATTTCAGAAGTCGAAGTGTTTCGACTTAAAACAATATAAAATTGTAAAAATAAAATAATGTTCAAATTGTTCTAAAGACACACAGTTAACATTAGTATTAGTACACATCTCTTATTCAGTTCCAAATCTGAGGAAATAGAAAAGTCACACGCAGCTGAAATTCATCTTTTTGAAAATATTATTCTCAAGAAATCATTAATAACCCACTGATGTTTTTTCCACATGATTCACAGCTTCCACTCAGTTACAGTTCAGTCCCTCTCAACCTGCAGAGCTGCTCAGCTGCTGGACTGGACCAGAGAAATGAAAAGTGTGTGTCCCGGTCACAGTTCAGCTCCTCTCCTGATTGGCTGCTGACAGCCGAAGACTCAGTCCTGCTGGATGCCAGCAGAGGCAGCGGTGCCGGGGTCTGGGTCAGGTGTATACTGAACAAAAATATGAATGCACACTTACTCACTTACACACAATTACTCTGATTTTTCATGAGTTGTAAAAAGATCTAAGACTTTTTTTCTACACAGAGAGCTTATGTCTCTTAAATATTGTTCACAGATACGTTTAAATGAGCGTTAGTGAGCAAGATAATCCCTCCAAACATGCAAAACATAACTCCAACAGGACCAGGAAGTCACACACCACACCCAGACAAAAAGCTCAGCCTTTAAACTAGTTCAGATTTGACCATAACTCATGACTATGGGATGTTAGACTGAAGTTAAAGCTCCTCCAGTGTAAAGGTCTGTGTCCATGTGTAGTGTGATTATAGATCAGCTCTAGCTTCTATATTAATACTGTGAAAGTATCAAAGCCTCAGTCCACAGAGAAATGCACACAGCCTGTATTCAGAAACTGAGCCTTAAAACCAGCCGTCAGGACTTCTGGAACTTTGTGATGTCACAACAAAGCAGTCACCAAGCCCCGCCCACCTGGACCCACCATCCAAACCTTGCAGGATTTGGTTTCTCTGAGTGTTTTTACCTGAAATCTGCTATATTTTTATTGGATCACTCAGAAAACAGTCAGCCAATCAGAAGAGAGGCTCAGAGCCTCCTCTCTTCTGATTGGCTCACCGACCTGTTGTTACTAGAGCTGCAGAGAGAAGCCTGAGAGAGGAGATGTAAAACTACACTGAGATGGTTTTTATATCTTCTGATGGATCAACACTTCAAATAAAACACAGAAGAAGAAGAAAATATGGAGCTGGAGCTTTAAATCACATTTCTAAGCCGGTGAGTGATACTTATCATAATCTGAACTGTTGCTGGTGCTTATTAAATCTCCTCCTCTATAACTTCCACAGTGTTTGGCAACAGACACAAAACAGTTTCACATCATTACGTTCAATCTAGGGAATTCAGCATTTTTCTTTTATCTCATATCTTCCTCTCTGTCGATCCGTCCTCCGAGCTCAGCAGCTCTTAGAGAACATCCAGCTCCTCCAGCTGCTGCCGCCGTCTCCAGTCAAATCAGTGTGGTGTGAAACTGCCCCAGTTAAACTGCAGTCATACTGATTTTCAAACAGCCTTCAGGTGTGGATCGTACATTCAACTCTCTCCCTCTCTCTCTGTGTGCAGGCATCACGGTGCTGCTCTCTCTGACCGTCTTCATGCTGCTGGTCGCTGAGATCATGCCGGCGACGTCCGACTCTGTCCCTCTGATAGGTGAGACCTTCAATTACTGTTTTATCACTTCATCACACGTCTCGTCTTTTATCCCTTCATCGCCTGAGTTATCTCTCTTCCCCCGTCGCCGTCACGTTAACTCATCAGGATGGATCTCTCCCGGGGTTTTCACCGACCTTGGATTCATTTAAAGGAGAAATCTAAATCACTGTTTTCCTCGTTTCTACGTGTGTGTTGTGAACAGCAACAAGAGCCTGTGAACTCTGACCTTTGTGTTTCAGCTCAGTACTTTGCAACCACCATGGTGATCGTGGGTCTGTCGGTCATCGCCACAGTTCTGGTTCTGCAGTATCATCACCACGACCCCGATGGAGGACACATGCCACAATGGGTCAGTCTTCCTCCTCCTCCTCCTCCTCCTCCTCCTTTTCTTCCTCCTCTTCCTCCTCCTCCTCCTCCTCCTCCTTTTCTTCCTCCTCTTCCTCCTCTGTCAGGATGTGCTGGTTCCTCTGGGGAGACCACCATGTCTCTGTCATCCGCTTCAATCAGCCTCAGTTTCCTTAACGAGCCGAGCGGCCGTTAATGAGCTGGGTTTATTTTACAGCATCTTGAAAAGTGTTTTTACACATCTAGTTGTTGTCAGTCACACACACACTTAGCTCTGCTCTGCTATGGTCTCTCTCTCTGTCACACACACACACACACACACACACACACACACACACACACACACACACACTCACTCCGCTGGGAATCTGAACAAGAGAAATTCCATTAAGGTGGATTTTGCCTTGAAGGTCAGAGCTCTTACCTCTGTGTGTGTGTGTGTGTGTGTGTGTGTGTTGAAGTGACTGCCCTGCCCTGACATGTGTTATGAATGTGAATGCTCCTGCTGAGGACGAGGAGAGAGAAGAGAGTTTAAACATCAGTCCGTCTGAACCCAGAGTCGTTCTGTTCGGACTGATACGACTTTCAACCATCAGAGACAGAACAAGAACCAGAATCACTCCCCCCTACCCCCCCCCCCCTCCTCTGTTCACTCCCACCTCTCATTCATCCTGACACTTCAGAGATTGAACCACCGACGTCTCGGAGTAGAAGTCGCCTCTTTAACCTTCGAGCCGCCGCTGCTCAGTGGAGTCTGACGCCACCGAGTAAAAGAAACATAAAGGAAATCTGTATGAACATGATCACAACATGTAATAAACTTTTTACACAAGACATGCAGCTCAAACAATACGATAAGAAATCAAATGGTACAATAAAATAAGGGCCAATTGAAGAACAATGACAATAGAAGATAGAAAGACAGTCAATGATAAAATATGTAAATGAAAATAAAACATAAACCAGTAAGAATAATCAAATATGAGAGGATTAATTAAAAGCCAAGTTAAATAAATGTTCTATAACATCATTAGAATCACAGTAAAATATGTTAAAAGTGAAGAAATGTAATGTGGAGTTCTGTGCAGTGGAAAGGATTTCTCTCAGCCTGTTTCATCACAGCAGCTGCTGCAGTTCAGTGAGTACCTGAGCTCTGGCTGCCTCGGGGTCTCTGCAGGTCTCAGTCTCCGGCAGAGAAACATCATCCACTGAGGGCGATAATAATCTGTCTTGTTATGTGTCCAAGACTCTGCACACGGTAGATGTAAATCCACACATGTAGATTTGCTTTAGAAAGATGTTTTAGAATCAAACTTCATGTCAAACATTTCCTCTTTATTTCCATAGTGACACATCACATCGTTATTTCGTCTAATTGATCCACTGACACTGAAAGTCTGTGGTGACATTTTCGTGAATAGAAGTTTCCTGCACACGGAGCAGAACAGGCCTGAGAGAAGAGAGAGGATGATGCTGATGATCAGATCTCACACATGCAGCTTCTCATGAACAAGAACGACCAGTTTGTACTGGTTACATCCCAGCATGCAACGCACCTGACTGTGACTTCAGAACGACCTGATGTTAGAGTTTGGTTTGAAATGAAAGTCCGGTTGACGTCAAAACCAAAGAAGAGAGGAGGCTCTGAGCCTCTCTCCTGATTGGCTGACTGTTTTCTGAGTGATCCAATAAAAATAAAGCAGATTTCAGGTAAAAACACTCAGAGAAACCAAATCCTGCAAGGTTTGGATGGTGGGTCCAGGTGGGCGGGGCTTGGTGACTGCTTTGTTGTGACATCACAAAGTTCCAGAAGTCCTGACGGCTGGTTTTAAGGCTCAGTTTCTGAATACAGGCTGTGTGCATTTCTCTGTGGACTGAGGCTTTGATACTTTCACAGTATTAATATAGAAGCTAGAGCTGATCTATAATCACACTACACATGGACACAGACCTTTACACTGGAGGAGCTTTAACTTCAGTCTATCGTCCCAGTGTTATGAGTATAGGGTCAGATCTTTGTTTGGTCGTGGTGTGTGACTTCCTGGTTCTGTTGGAGTCATTTTTGCATGTTTAAAGGGATTATCTCGCTCACTAACACAGATTCAAACACTTTCAGCCTGAGTTAAATCATAATTATTTAGACTGTATTTCCCTCAGCTGAAGATCCTGTTCGGCTGTTTGAGTTCAGGCAACAGTCAACACTCCGGACTCTGTAGAAAATGTTTTCTATTTCACAGATTGAAGGCTTGCTGTGGTTCTGGTATAAACAGAGTTCAGATAGCATGCAGCTGTGTTAGTATGCAGACACACACACTACAGAGACTCTGCAGCTGAGACTGGAGACAAGGGATGTTCAGTATGTTGCATTATTTCTGTCAGGACATCTTGTTCTGTTCAGACTCAGTCACCAGCTCGCATCGCTCCGGATAAATCTCAAATTACAACATTTTAGTTTCCAGAATAACTTTTTTTCTCCCAGAGTTACTGAGTGAAGAGGAGGCGTGAGGGGAAGCAGCTTCACTGATGAAGATAATTACAGTAATTCTTCACTGTGGGACAGAGAGCGAGGAGTCAGTGTCCGTGGAAAGGAAAGGAAAGGAAATTCACAAACACACGAAAAAGTAAAGGCAGTTTAAGTAAAACATAAACAAAGGAAGGGTAAAGAAAGAAGAGGAAAGACAGGAAAGGAAAAGAAAAGTAATCAAGGAAAAGAAATTAATTACAAAAAAAAAACAAAGGACAGGAGATTAAAGAGAAAAAAAACTGAAAGGATGAGAAAACAAAGGAAATGAATGGAAATACAAGAAAAAGAAAAGAAGTAATCCAGGGAAAGGAAAGAAATGGGAGAGCAAGCAAAATTTAATTACACAAAAAACTAAGAAAATGTGATTTAAGAGAAAGAAAAGGGAAAGAAAAAGAAGTAATCCAAGGAAATGAGGAGAAAAGGAAGCAAAGGAAAGGAAGTAATCCAAGGAAATGAAGAGAAAAGGAAGCAAAGGAAAGGAAAGGAACTGAGAGGACACAATACGGTACAATAAAAAGCAAATAATGGAAAAGAAATTAAAATAAATTTAATTACACGCAAATCAAAAGATAATAAACAGGTACGCTCTGAAGGAAAGGAAAAGAGAGAATAATGAACAGGGACGTGATGGAAGGTGACTGTTGTCCACATGAGTCGCAGTGACCAGGATGAAGTGTTGGACGTCTGACTGATGTTCACACAGTCAGAGACTCTGACAGTTAAATATTTAATGAGCCGAGTGTGAAGATTTCAGCTGGGAGCTCAGCAGCCACACATCCACTTTATTCATGCTCTATTTTCATCTGCCTGCTCCCACTGCACACACACACACACACACACACACACACACACACACACACACACACACACACACACACACACACACACATTAATTCACAGCTCTCTCATGCACAGTTTTTCTGCATAAACACGTTTCTGCATAGATGAATTTTGATCGACGTGTTTTTATGTAAATATTTTTGACTTGCACTTTGTAAAGTCAACTTCCTGACAACTCCACTATAGATCTTCCTCCTCGTCCTCCTCCTCTTCAGCCACCAGGTCTGCAGCCTTTTTTCTTATTTCTTTCATTTAAATATTTGTTCTTTTGTCTTTTTCTATTCAATTCACTATCACAGCATCCATTATGTATGTTCTGTCCTCTGACGTCCGCTAAATAAAAGTTTGACTTTAAAAGCAAAAGTGAGTTACTTCATAAAACCGTGTACAGACAACATCTCTACATGTTTAAACCGGGAGATGTCACAGTTTATCTCTGCTAAATAAAAAAAGACACGCCGTAACCTCCATATATTTAATGTGAAATAACGTCTGTCAAACTTGACCACTAGGAGTCGCCAAAGTCATAAATGTTCATATCCTTCACACAGGGGCTTTAACATTTAGGTGTCTACTCTGTGTCGTGACTAATTCCTACGTTTTTAGCTTTGCTAGCAGCATCAGTCTTATCTCCTGATGGAGGCCTAACAGCTGTTAAAACACAGATGTCTACGGTTATCCTTTTAATTATAAAGTAGGTCCAGTTTATTCCATCACTCAGATTACATAACATAAAACTATTTAAAACTTTAAGCTCTTCTATGATGTAATAACATTTCACCAGCCCACGATCTTTAGGCCTCAACAAGTTGTTCATTTGGTTTCAAAATGGAGCAAAATTTTCAGTCGTAACTTTTCAAAAGTAAAAAGTAAATTCTTTTTGTATATGACTTGATTCATTTTACAGTCAGAAGAAATAAAGAGAGTTGTAACAAATTTCTTCCATCCATCTTTTTATCATTTTAAATTTTGGAATTTTTTTATTTTTAAATATGTAATATCTGAGGGTTTTTTAAAATCAGAACAAATCAGAAATTTCCCATAGTAATGAAATCACTCTTTAATATTTAAATTTTAATCATTTTTTTCCAGAAGATCTATTTAATGAGGCAGGTGTGTCGGAGCAGGATTAATGACTTAGCACACTGTCTGACTTTTAAAAAAATTTAAAAAAGATACCAAAAATTTGTTTTCCATAATTGTAAAATATTTATTGACCTCTGTTCCCCTTCGTTGTCTTTTTCCTCTTCTTCAGACTCGTGTCATTTTGTTGAACTGGTGCGCCTGGTTCCTGAGGATGCGGCGTCCCGGTGAGGCGAAGGTCCGTCTGGCGTGTCACAACGCCACCAAGCATCGGCGCGGCAGCCTGTCCAGCCTGGAGCTAGGCGTCAGCCAGGGGTCGCTGCGACATCACCCGCAGGTAACCAACGGCAACCTCCTTTACGTCGGCTTCCGAGGCATGGAGGGGCTGCACTACGCCTCGCCCACCGAGCCTGAACTCCTCTGTTCGCGACTGGTGGGAGGTGGCGCCGGTGGGGAGGAGGATGCCCTGAGAGCAGGGGGCGGGGCCGGAGGAAGAGGGGGAGGAGCAGCAGTGGGAGGCTCGACGGTGGAGGCAGAGCTGAACCAGATCCTGGAGGAGGTGAGGTACATCGCCAGGCGTTTCCGCGGGCAGGACGAGGAGGAGACTGTCTGCAGCGAGTGGAAGTTTGCTGCGGCGGTGATTGACCGGCTGTGTCTGGTGGCGTTCTCGCTCTTCACCATCCTCTGCACCATCGGCATCCTCATGTCGGCTCCCAACTTCGTGGAGGCCATTTCCAAAGACTTCTTCAGCTGAGGAGGAGAGAAGGAGGCAAGGTGGAAAAATGGTCTGTTGACTCCAGAAAAATCTCCTGTAACTGCTGACTGTACATATGTAGAATGAACGTTGTTAAGTGTTTTCATTTCAAGGCAGCTGCATTAATGTGAGAAACTGTTATCTCTGTCTCTTGGGAGAAAATATCAGGCTTAAAGCTCCGAATTTTCCTCTTCTTCTGTGTTTTATTTTGAAGTGTTGATCCATAAGAAGATATATTTGTGGTTTTAAGAACCAAAAACCATCTCAGTGTAGTTTTACATCTCCTCTCTCAGGCTTCTCTCTGGAGCTCTAGTAACAACAGGTCGGTGAGCCAATCAGAAGAGAGGAGGCTCTGATCCTCTCTTCTGATTGGCTGACTGTTTTCTGAGTGATCCAATAAAAATATAGCAGATTTCAGGTAAAAACACTCAGAGAAACCAAATCCTGCAAGGTTTGGATGGTGGGTCCAGGTGGGCGGGGCTTGGTGACTGCTTTGTTGTGACATCACAAAGTTCCAGAAGTCCTGACGGCTGGTTTTAAGGCTCAGTTTCTGAATACAGGCTGTGTGCATTTCTCTGTGGACTGAGGCTTTGATACTTTCACAGTATTAATATAGAAGCTAGAGCTGATCTATAATCACACTACACATGGACACAGACCTTTACACTGGAGGAGCTTTAATAGTAAATCCATACAGGAGTCTACTCATTCATTCCCACATGAAAATTTTAAAAGAGATTTTTTTTATCACGAGTAGAAATCATCAAATATCAATCAACAAAATGTTGGAGGTATTTGTCTGATGAAAACTTTATTTTATGTGTAAATTATAAATCATGATTCCTCAGCTCCAACATCATTCAGACTAGTTGTAAAAACACTTTATAATTACTTCTGTGGTGTTCATCATGCTCAGATGTCTTTTAACCGTTTTAATTGACAGCTAGCAGCAAGTAGTGAAGTGGGTAGAAATTATCAGCAAAAAAAATAAAATGACCTAAAGTAAGAGTTTATCCACACATCAGCCGACTCTCTATGGTAGAGAAAATAGAAATATGTATTAAACACTTTCTTGAATAACAAAATATTTTTACACCTTTGAGTGTGACAAGATATTTTCCACCAGTTATATTACAGTTCTGTAATTCCTGATCTTTTTAGCCAGTTTCAATGTGACAAGACTGAGATACGTCCGATTTTGTTAAATGTTTAAATGTAAATGTGTAAAAGCCTCTGTCACGAAGATGAACTAAAAACTTGTAACTGTGTGTATCCCTGCTGACGGTGTGAAGTCTGACCAGGTTGTGATTTCAGAGTGACTGCGGCTCATCAGCTGTCCAAGTGTCTGTTGAGGTGAAACAGTCAGTCAGGCAGTTAACACGTTCAGTCACAGCCCGCTCTCTCTTCACTCTGCTCTTTGTAAATAAATGTATTTTTCTTATACACCAGGCTCTGATGTGGATCCTTCCAGCCATTTCAGTTTGAATTAGAAAATGTCCAACTTTTATGCTCTACAGATTCACCAGTCTCCTCTCCACACTTTTTTTTACCATCTGCGTCCATATCCCTGACAGCACTGACTAGATTTTCACAAAATGTACTGTTCTGTATTTGGATTTAAAAAAATGTAATCTGTAGCAGAGTAAGTATTTAGACGTTTTAAATAACCAAAAGTTGTTCATATAATTTTTTGGGACCTCACTCACATTGCAGGTGTGTCACACTGTGACTGTTGGTGGAAAGACTGTGGAGGAGTGGAGGGAAGAGATGAAGAGAAGACAGGACAACGTTTTCTATCTTCATTTATAACTTTTAATTGACATTTATTATATTTGATTTGTTGCATTTGGAGTGGTGTTTGTGTCACCTGATGTCTCATGATGATGTCAGTCCAGTGTTCCCTCTCTTTTAGCTCTGTGTTTGGTCTCCACCAGCTCCTGAGGGAAATCTGTGTCTTTAGCTTCTTATTGCTCCACTCTGTTCAGCAGCTGCTCTCAGACCGTGTCTCTGCTGTTTGCTGCTGAGAGGTCGTGGACAGTGGCTACGGCTGAAGAAGTCTATATATTCAAAGATGACAGACGGTAACTGAATCATTATTTTATTGCACAGTTTTTTTCTTTTAATTATATTTTTAGATTGCATTCACCATGGCCTTAAAAAGGTCATAAAAACTCTTCAACACCAAGATAGAAAGTTAAAATGAGCGCAGTGGAAAGACTTGACAGTGACTGTTTCCCTGGTAAAAATGTTGTAAATAGTTTCCATTGGGCACAATGCTGTTAGTGTGTGTAAGAATTCATTTGTAATGTGTGCTTTTTTTATTCTTGCGGCTCACATCATGTGCTGTGGCGCAGTGGACGGATGGGCATCGGTTGAGAAAACTAAGGTCATCACATGACTCACTGTCACAGGGGGAGGAGCCCTGGAGAGAGATCATCAGTTTCACCTGAACCTCAAGTTCTATTAGTTAGTTTATGATAAGTTTATTGCGCTACAGTGACAGTGGTATTACAAGATGAGACGGACGGTTCAGGACATCTAGCACCAGTTACACAGTGAACCTTTCTAAGACAGTCTGCAGTCACTTACCTCTGCCCCATTGACCCCATCACCGTTCTGTCCAAAGAAATGCATTTTATTAAGCGTTGCTGTATATTGGGTAAACTTGAAATAAAGGGCTGATTTGTTTTAGCATTTGTGTCCTTGAGTTTTAGTTTTAATTCATATATATGTATTAGGTGAACCTGGATGAAACGAATGCAGTGTAATGGAACAGGCCTGCAGTAAATCCTCCTTCATGAGGATTATAATGTTCAGTATTTACTGAATCTGTTTGAGAAGTGTTGTTTTATTTTAATGGTCATTGTGGAGGCTGTGATTGTTGTTGTGGTAATGTTTAAGTTGCAGATCAACTTCTGTAAGTGCATGTACGTGTGTGTGTGTGTGTGTGTGTGTGTGTGTGTGTGTATATACATGTCTTGCTGTGGTTGTGGGGACAAATCTGGGTTTGAAACCATCAGTGTGAGGTTATTGTGTTCAGTCGTCACAGCTTCTAAAGGCTTTCTGAGGGACAGCTGCAGTGACTGAGGTCAGTGTCAGGATGAGTCTCTACGACATGAATGAAGCTGAAAGTCACGTCCTTTGTGCAGATTGAAACGAGGAGTGAAGTTCACGCACCAAGCAGCAGCAACATTCAAAAGTTCTCCAGGAGTTTTCTTGTGTTTATTATTCTCTGTCCTCAGTGTTCACAGATTCACTTTCTTGCCTTTTACTTCATTTCTACTGTTGTTGATGGATGACAGTAACAACATGTGAAGAGCAGAACCTGTTCACAAGTCAAGTTGTTTCCCACATGCCCACACCACGAGAAGTATCAAAGTTCTCGTGGGAATAGTTGTTTTCCCGCCCCCCTGTTATGTATCAACTCTGCACCTGCAGGTGTGGGGATGTTAGGTCACACACACACACACAGACAAGTTTTACACAGCTAAAACAGCTTGGGGTCAAATTGACCCCAGAGGAACACCGATGCGTGCAATATGTGTTCAGCACATTGAAAAAATATCATCATTTTATGCTTAATCAGTCGTCCCCATCAAATTAGGAAAAGTCATGAAATATGAAGCAAAAAAAAAAAGCCAACTATTATTTTTTGAATGATAAACATTGAATGGGGTCAGATTGACCCCAAGGATAATAGGAGGGTTAAAGCAACATAGAAAGTCTTTGATTAATTACAGATTCAGGAGAAACTTCAGTGTGTTGTGATTTCTATACTGTGCTGCTGCTACTGTTCAAATTCATACCAGACACGCTCCATAAAAACCACCAACAAAGCAAAGCTTCATAAGAAACTTTATTTACATTAAAACTGCATTAATTCCAACAATTTACAATCAACTGTAACTGACAAATTAAAAGTAGAATCCAGTTGTGAATGAAGGTGCAGGTGAACTTCACTGACACAAGACAAGTCTGCATCATAAAGAGGTGGATGAATCTTATTTAGTAACAAGTATAAATTATAGTAGAGATGTAAAATAATACTTCATAGCTCAGTGAGGACAGAGCAACAGTCTGACAGCTTGACTGTTGTGTGATAAACCATTGTCCTGCTTTCCTCCCAGTGCATGCTGGGATACATTCCAGTACTTCAAACTTTTTTGTTTGAAGTTTGAACGTTTGATGTGATGAAGAAAAGTTTGACACATTTCATCCAGAATCACAAAGTTTGAATGTAGAAGTCACATAAATATAAAACTAATAAGATTCACCCTGAAATTACAGAGAAAAGATTTTTAAACTTGTTCTATTAAAAATATACGTTCCAGCAGTCTCGACTTGTGGTGAAACACAGTCAGACGGTTCCAACACTCATCTGGTCCACTTCGGACATCAACGCATTTACATCAATATATATCAAGCTTAGTCATTGTTAATTACAGATAATTACTGTCAACTTATACAGAGCTACCAACCATTCCATTCGATTTCGTCTCAACATTTGTAAGATTCATAAAGCTACAGCTCAATATTCAAATACGTCATTTCAAACTTCAATACGGCGTAGTCAACCTTTGTTCTTTAACTTTTTTTTTTATACTAAGTCTTGTATGTTGCGGTGCTTTGTTAATTGGAAGTAAGTCTTAGGCAACTTTATCTCTCTAGCACAGTATTTTTTTCTTGTTCTACCAAGTATGTACTATCCTTCAGCTTTTTTGCACCATTGATATTAACAACAATGTCCTTGTACCCCGTATCACCTCTAACAATCCCATCCGAGTATTGGTTGGTATCCGCAC